TAACTATATCATAGACTTTGATATGTTTCTTTTAAAACCAGTAATTCTACTCTTTGGAATAATTCTCTACTGAGTTTTGGAGCCTCACATGTTACTAAAATGTTCCTGCCACGTATACAGTTACATATAGTAAACATCACTGAGTGAAACTCAGAGGTTTTCTGTTTTGTTTTGTTTTGTTTCAGGAAAGATAAGTGTGGCTAGGCTTGTGGTATAAGAAGATGTCTTGGTTGAACCATGGGAGAGGACATGATTGACAGGGATAACTTCTAAATCAATATACCCGTAAACACATTTTTCTAACATGGTTTAATGTTATGATGCCTTTTACATTGTATAGGATATTGCTAGTACATTTAGTACATTCTTAGTACACTTTATCTAAACTAATAGCTCTAACAGAATTTATATTATAATAGATAGTAATGGCCTTATGGTCACTTGAAGTACCTAGGGTAGGGTCTCTAGCTTATCTCTATTCCATAGGATGAAAGGACCAATTTATCACAGAGATATAATTTTCCACCAAAAATGTCTTGGCTTTCAACATTCCAACGATTCCATTGTTGCTTGAATAATTTCCATGCATTCTATTTTGCTGCCATTAATAAGTTGTATATAGATTACATGAATATAAAGCTCAAATGCAGGCATGCTTTCCCTCAAACTTGATAGCTCTGCAATTTTCTGCTTTGCAGCTTTGCCTTACTTTAATATTGCTGATTTGTGCACTAAATGATATAGTTCAATTTCCTATTATTTAATAGGATTCCTCCATAGCTGTATGAAGAGGTCCTCTACAAATCTTTCCAAGTGGCCACTTCACATGATTATCAACCAATTGGCTGATAATTCAATATGAATCAATGATGAGGTACTGCTCAGGCCTCTGGTGATAGGTATCTATTAATTCAATGTGCCTGTACCACATTTTTCTACATGTTTCACACTGATTTTGCAATTTCCACAACATAAAGGTAAAAAAGGTAAAGGCCCTCCCGTTGATCATCGATTTGCTCGAGCGGGCCCAGTAACGTCTCCATTGGAGACTTTGTTGTTACTGTGTCTGGCATATCGAATACTCTCGGTAGCTTGCCGGGCTCTCCGAGAGGGGCGGAGGAATCGAACTCGGGTCGGCCATAGTTGGCCGCTTGTAAGGCGAACGCCCTACCCGCTGTGCTATCGCTCCAGCCCTCAACATATTCCAACAATTCCACAACATAATGAAGTATATGTACATTTTAATACATGTAGTACATCTTATCTATCTCATACTATACCAGTGGTACTTTGGGTCACCAGGTCCCTCGAGGGCTAACTCTGGTGACTCATAGGAACTATGTGGTACCAAGATTGAACAAGGGTCAGTCGTATATGCTGTAACCCATCTACTATCTTTTAGGTCCCGTTCCTTTTGAATGGTGGAAAAGTTTAATTTCAGTGATTTATGTTTTATTGTGAGCCATAGTTTTGAGGATGTGCCTAGGTATAGATATAGGTAGTATAGGTTATAGTATAGATATAGTTATAGATATAGATATATAGATATAGATGTATATAGTATAGATATGGGTAGTATAGGTATAGGTAGTAGTATGTTTGAACCATGTAAACGGGGCAATAACATAAAATTATCAGTATCAAACTGCATTTTCTTCTCTTTTCAAGTATCCTGAGACTCAAATCATACATACATTCTGTTTACATTAGCTGATTTTTTTTCTTTTTTTACTGGATCACACAGGTTCATTGAGGCACGTTCATCCTCTTTCCTCCCTCCCCCCATTAGACAGAGAATATGATCAAGTAGTTTATGATATTATGTAACTACTGTGATATCCCAAGAGGGAAGATGGAAAATATCTTACACGGGAAATCTTGTATCATATTGATTTAAGTATTACTTTTGTACAAGAGAATATGCCAGTATTTCAAAGAATAGGACGGGCACCGACTTCTGTAGTCTCGGGTAGTCAAAAAACTCTCTATAATCCAATATTTGTGGATAATGTTTAGAATCAGCAGACATTCTTTGAATTGGAGTCGTGCATTTTTTAGACCTTGACAATTCTCACAGTTATGCTTTGGACTTTGTCTTTGATTTCTCTAACTTTTGCTCAACGTAGAGGATTAGAGTCTTTTTGTATGATGTCAAGTAGATATTCTAGCCTTAAGCTGACACTTAAGTTTTAATCATTAATTTCAGTGATATCTGATTTTGTCAAGAACACTGATAATGACCATCACTTAATGGACAAAATGGGGTATTCCATTATGTTACAAAATATACTACTGTAAAATACACTACTTGGATTGTTTTATTATAATTGACTAGTTATCTTATACTACTACCTAACATCAATGATGGAGTACTTATTGCAGATTTATTGAATAATGGCATTAAATTGGTCATTCATGTCTAAAATGCCATTTCAGTATCTGTTTTTGGACAGATTCCTCAATATCATCTGTAGCTATTTCAGTTTTCTGGGTGTAGTAACCTAAATATGATTATAACTAATGGCAGCTATGATCATTTTAAAAGTATCTCTCTCTATGTAGAAAGTATACTTTCCTGTGTCACAGAATATATTATTTATTTAACCTAATACCTGCTGGAGTTTAATATTCATAAATCAGAGGTTTAGCTCATATTTTCCTGACAATTTTCCACTTTTGTAATTCAAAAATTATATGTTCCTCAATTACTCTTTGAAAGTGAGTGTAGCACTGTAGCACTATCCTCTCCTTATTTATCGATTTACTCGAGTGGGCCCAGTAACATCTCCATTGTGAGACTTGTTACTGTGTTTGGCATATCAACTATGTCATGGGGAGCTTGCCAGGCTTTGCCATGCAGGCAAAAAACTCTCGGTAGCTTGCTGGGCTCTCTGAGAGGGGCAGAGGAATCAAACTCAGGTCGGCCAGGTCGGCTGCGTGCAAAGGCTTACCTGCTGTGCTTACCCCCTTACCTTACCTGCTGTGCTGTGGCTCCAGCCCGAAAGTGATTGTATGAATATGAAATAAAGGTGCTAGAGATTTAGTTCAGAGATAGAGAGTACATGACCCTAGATTTTATCTCAACTCCAAAATCTACCCACCAGTACCAAATAATTTAATATGAAAGTTACCAAGAGAATCTACAATATTAAATGTAATACATGTGTATCCTTGTCTTAAAATGAGCAGTGCATGAAATCTATATATTACTGAATTTAATTTTACTTTGATATTTTAAAAATAGTAACAATTTTGGAAATAACAGACTGACATTTCATTATGACTTTAGAGTTATAACTAAAAGAGATTACTTGATATGTTATTTGATTAAATCTAACTATAGAGAAGAAACTGTAATCTTATAATTCGGTATTTATTTTTACAAATGTCACAGCTCAAAGATCAACTTGAAATCATTATAAATTTATCTAAAATGCTTCTTGGAAAAACTTCAAAGGCAAAATATAGCTAACAAATATCGAGTGACAATATGCTAAGTATAATGAGAGCTGTAAATAACAATCCTGATTGCTGAGCAGAAATAATTTATGTGTGATTTTTGAATATTAATACACTGATAGTCACTGTAATCCTCTTATGTGAGATTTTCACACATTTTTTTTCTGGTATAAATGACATTCTTTATAAAATTCCCTTTGGATTTCCATTAATTTAATACAAAGCAAGGTTTAAAGTACTTAATACATTCCAATAAATGTATCTTCTTTGAAACTGATAGAGAATAGAAAATTATATAAATTTGGTAAAGAAAGTCATTGGTCACAATAAGCAACAACTATTATGACATGAAAAATAAAGTTAACTTAAGATTTTACTTAAAAACCTTAAGTAAATGATTTTTATTACACTGCATTATGCAGACAAAGACATTGTCTGAGTGTAAAAAGTTTTCTTCCTCAGTTGAAAGAGAACATTAAAATCAGATTCTTTTAAAGATGGCGGCCGCATGGGAGCCTTGTGGAGAGCAGGTATGAGCCGGGGGTGTGGGGGCAACTAAAACCTCATGGGACGGGGGGCATTCTGGTCCGTCGTTTACGCCCTACCGAGGCCACCAGTTGCCCCCCACGAGCGGCTCTCCGGCACGGCCACGGCCCCAGAAGCACAGGACTTAATGCAGAACCCAGCAGCTTGGAGCAGAAAAGTGAACAGACTATGCATTAATCCAGGCCATCATGTCTGCCTGGAGGGGAAAGGGTGTTGCCCCATTCACCCTCTCCTCTCTGGAAAGAAAGATGGCGTCCACATGGGTGCCTTATGGAGAGGAGGTGTGAGCCGGGGGTGTGGGGGCGACTAAAACCTCATGGGAAGGGGGTGTTCCGGTCCGTCCTTCACGCCCTACCGAGGCCACCAGTTGCCCCCCATGAGCGGCTCTCCAGCACGGCCACGACTCCAGAGCACAGAAACCAATCTCTTAATTATCTGACTCTCAGTAGAAATACTTCCAGGGTTAATTAGTAAAATAGCAGAACTCCAAAACGAACATTTAATTCTTGAACCCAGCTGTAGAAAGCAAATCACTTCACAATGCTTTTTCAGCATGTCTGATTTGGGGGGAGGGGGTAAACTCTAAATAATAGTGGTGCATCTTTTATTGAAACAATGAATCTAATCAAAGCAGATAGAGTGTTAACTAGAATTCATCTGCCTCGCAGGCATTGGGAGGGGTGGGGGTGGGGTTTTATTGGGGTTCTTCATGGTAAAAAATAAGTATTGGTAAAGGGAAAGGTGTTTGATATTTGCATGACTGAGACCTAAACCTGAAAGCTTTGTAACTTTTCCCACAGTGATTCAATAAATAAATAAATTATTTTTAAAAAATCAGATTCTTTTAAGTAATTTGTGAATTAAAAATATATTATGGTACTTTATGTAGTATCTCAAATATGTCACAGGTAAGTACTTTAAATAATTGCATATTTATTATATGACCATATTTACAGTATTTAACAGAATTGACACTTTGTTTTCTTTTCTAAAAGGAAATAATGCCTGCTTTCCAAGTCCAAATTACAACCCCTTCACATGGATTTTAGTTCTGGTTTCATGTCCTAACTATACCTATGAGGTAAGCTATCTTTATGTAAATAAACTGCACTTAATCATAGGATGAGTACATATTCATGTTTATTATAGATTAATACTTTTATTATGTATATGTGTGTTTTACATATGGGCATAAGATCAGATATATAGATTATGGCATATACAATTATTAGTAAAGAAATTTAGAATTTTTGCCTTGTTATATGCTCTGAGTCACAACCAATGGTACTCAGGGTTTACTACTGGTTCTGTGTTTAGGGATCATTCTTGGTAAGGTTCAGAGAACCCCAGGAGATGCCTGGGATTGAATCAGGTAGGCCTCAAGCAAGGGCAAATGAGTTATTCCTTACATTATCTCTTAAACCAATTTGAAATTTTGGTGAATGGTGTGATGATGTGGACAAACCCAAGACTTCACACATGCAACACAAATCCTCTACTCCTGAGTTATATACTGAGCATAAAATTTGGAATATCTCAAAAATTGTCCCACAGAAAATTTCAAAAAAATGCTTCTAAATATATGTTGCAAGAAATTTAATACATCTAAACAATGATTTATTATCTTGCTGTAAAATGTTTTAGGATTAAAGAGATAGTACAACAGTGAATCTAGAAATAGTACAGGAGTAAAGCACTTTGTATGTGGCCGATCCTGGTTAGCTGATCCCTGCATTATGTATCATTCCCACACACCATCTGTTGTGGTGCAGAGCCAAGAGTAAGTCCTGATCTGGGTTTGGCCTCAAGACCAACCAAACAGAAGTAAAGAAAAATAAAATTTCATATTATTATCAAAGTGTTTTTTTAAAAAGTTTTTCCATGTTTAAATTATTTTAGTGTTATCTTATGGAGTTGTTTATTCCATATTTAAAAATCATTTTTGAGGAATGCTTATCTTTCTATAATTTTTATATTGCTTTGTGAAGTTCCCAATTTTCTACTTGACTATATAAAGTAAAGTAAAGGCCCTCCTGTTGATCATCGATTTGCTCGAGCAGGTCCAGTAACGTCTCCATTGGAGACTTTGTTGTTACTGTGTTTGACATATCGAGTACGTCACGGGGAGCTTGCCAGGCTCTGCCATGCGGGCGAGATACTCTCGGTAGCTTGCCGGGCTCTCCGAGAGGGGCGGAGGAATCGAACTTGGGTCGGCCATGTTGGCTGCGTGCAAGGCAAATGCCCTACCGCTGTGCTATCGCTCCATATATAAAAATAAATACTATACTATTTAAAGATGTTTATTTGTTTATGTTTTATTTAACAGATTGGATCTTGGATTAGTTTCACAGTCATGACACAGACACTGCCAGGTAATAAAGGAGGTTTATTCAAAACAAAGAAAAGTAAATACACATTTTGGAGGAGTTGTTTATGAGAACAAGTTGTCATAATACTAAAATCAGATGTGTTTGCAAAGGATTTTATACTTTCATTTACATTTTTATTTTAAATATGTCAGTGGTTTAAAAGTATATCCAACATTATTTTCTTTGTATTTCTATGCAATATAGCTTAATCCAACAAGCCGAATTAAATGTGTTTATTTAACAAAGAGCCTTTGTTATGTAGTGCTAATAATGCACTTTGCTTGAACACTTTTGATGTGCACACAAATAAATATACTGTGTCATCAAGCGTCTGAGTTCTGTAAATGGAGACAGGGAAAATAAATGTATAACATTTTAGTGCTGAGCATTTTGACATACATAAGGAAACTACATTGCAAAGAATTTACTGAACTAGAAGGGATATATGTAATACCCATTTTAAGTATTGTAGTTGTTAGTTGTAAAAAGTGTACAAAAGTTTTGTGTCACAATGTTGATGTATTTGTATAGAAGTATATTCTATGAAGATAGAAATTATTATTGAAAAAGTTAGGATCAAATTTCCTTGCTATGTAGTATAATGGAGTAGTGGAATGTCAAAAATATGGAATTTTTTATGTCTAGTATTCTTTCTATGTTAAGTCAGCCATGCAATCAATACCCATAGAACCTATTATGGCACATACAAATAAGAATAAAGAAAATTTATGGAGAATTATGAACAATATTTTGGGGCTAAACATGATAGTATTGCTATGTAAATTAATTTAGCTATAAGTAATAAAATAATTACTTTCTTTTTTTTAGCTGGGGTTTTTACACTGCTGATAAGTATCCAGATGTCTTTGTGGGCAAAAAAGAAGCATAAGATTTATCTGAAGAAGTGCAATTCGTATATGTTTTGGAAATCAGCAATAATTCCATTTATATTGTAAAAAAATATGTTGTATTATCTCAGATATAAAACAATAAAATCATTAAAAAATTTAATCAAGAATATTTGACCATATTCAGAAATGGATAACAGGAATTTTACTGAACAAAAATATAAAATATTTCACAAAATGTTGAAATTATACCTAAGACTAAAGATAAATAAAAATTTTGAACATATTTTCAAGGCATTATTTTTAAAAATATTTTAGTTTATTAAGTATTTCTTAATAGAGCTTGCATAGGATAATAAAAATATCAACTCTAATTTTAAGCTTGTTAAAGATGCTTAATTTTACACATTTTCATAGTAAATTAGTTTCTCATTGTTCAGCTAATTATTAAAAAGTATCAAATACTTTATGTTGGTTCAACTCTTTGCACAAATCATACCTATTTTAGAAGGCCAGAGTCAAAGCACAAAAGGTAGAACATTTGCTTTGCGTATAATAGACTCTGATCCTCAGCCTCCCATACACTCCCAGAGTAGCATATAGAGTAATTCCTGATTGTAGAGCCAGGAGTAATCCTAAAGCATCATCAGGTGTGGTCCCCAAACCGAATAAATAGATAAAATAAATTTAAATGCTTTTAAGTCTGTATCTCCTTTACTCATAATATAAGTCATGCTACTCTCCTAAAATTTAGCAAGATATCATCAGATATTTACTGTTTTCATAGTATAGAAATGTTAATTTATAATAATTATGTACAAATGTATAAAACAGCCATATTTCAAATATGATATAAAAGTAGAATATGTTGATTTTTTTGTGATTGAGTGAAGTTTTTTTTATTTTTGCTTTCACTATCTTTTCTCTTAATGACAGTCTACATTGATTTGTGTGTCATATAATCTGCTTATATCTTTGACAATATGACTTATGTTAAAAAAAAATCAAAATACTTGGCATTTCAAATGTTTTTGTCACTGTCACTGTCCTCCCGTTGTTCATCAATTTGCTCAAGCGGGCCCAGTAACATCTCCATTGGAGACTTTGTTGTTACTGTGTTTGGCATATCGAATACATCACGGGTAGCTTGCCAGGCTCTGTCATGCGGGCGAGATACTCTCAGTAGCTTGCAGGGCTCTCCGAGAGGGGCGGAGGAATCGAACTTGGGTCGGTCATGTTGGCTGCATGCAAGGAAGACGCCCTACCACTGTGCTATCGCTCTAGCCCCAAATGTTTTTAAAAATTTTAATTGTATGTCAATTTTAAAAGATATTTTAGATATAGGTTTACTCTTAATGAAATACACTGAAAGATATATATATATATATGTATATATATATATATATATTTGGCTGCAGTACATACACACACCTCCATTATACACACATTATAAACATATCCTTAGTAAAAGTAGTTCTGGTAGATGTTTGTGTGACCATTAATTTATTCAATAAATAATGACGGTACTCCTTTGAACGTCTTGTTATTGATACTCCTTTGAACGTCTTGTTATTTTTCCCAAGTGTGTATGATATTAAACTATCTCAAGGAAAGACAACTATAACCTTTAACTGCCCTATAATCCTTCCAGCAAAATGGTAGGGAATTTTTAAAAGTTTTATTGAATCACCATGAGATATAGTTATAAACTTTCATGCCCCCATACTCTCTATCTACTTTTGGGATTATGGTTTGCAATACAGATACTGAGAGGTTATTATGTTTAGTCCTTTATCTACTTTCAGCACATTTCTCCCATCCCGACCGATTTCTCATACCATCGTTTTCTTAGTGATCCCTTCTCTATTCCAGCTGCCCTCTCCCCTAGCTCATGAGGCAGGCTTCCAGCTTTTGAGCAATCTTCCTGGCTCTTGTGCCTACTGTACTTGGGTATCTGTCTCATGTTATGTTATTTTATACTCCACAAACGAGTAAAATCTTTCTTTGTCTACCCCTCTCTTTCTGACTCATTTCACTGAGCATGATACTCTCCATGTCTATCCACTTATAATCTCTCCTACCAGCTGCATAGTATTCCATTGTATGGAATGTACCAAATGTATAGATGTACCAAAGTTTAGCCAATTGTCTATTCTTAGGCACCTGTGTTGTTTCCAGATTTTGGCTATTATAAACAGTGCTATAATGAACATACAGATACAGATGTGATTTCTAATGTGCTTTTTTGCACCCGAGTGATATTTTCCCAGAAGTGGTATTGCGGGATCATATGGAAGCTCGATTTCTAGTTTTTGAAGGACTGTCCATAGTGTTTTCCAGTAAGCCTGGACCATTTGGCATCTCCACTAACACTGAAAGAGCGTCCCCTTATCTCCACATCCACGTCAGCACTGGTTGCTTTTGTTCTTTTGTATGTGTGCCAGTCTCTGTGGTGTGAGATGATTTCTTATTGTTGTTTTGATTTGCATATCTTCTGATGATTAGTGATGTGGAACATTTTTTGATGTGCCTTTTGGCCATTTGTATTTCTTTTCTGAGGAAGATTCTGTTCATTTTTCCCTTCATTTTTTGATGGGGCTGTGGTAGAAAATTGTTGGTTTTTTTTTTTCTTGTACAATTCTACTAGTGTCTTGTATATCCTAGATATTAATTGCTTAACTGATGGCTCTTTTTCCAGGTGGACATTCTGTGAAATGCTTCAGAACTACAGGCAGAGTTCAAAACACATAAGTAATCTGGTTAAATTCAATGCCAACAATTATGCCCATTTCAGAGGTGAAATAGAAATCTCTCTTAATTTAGGTCAGACTCCTTGCTCAATCAGATTTATCATTTTTTGTGTCTTTTAACACCTGAAAAAAAGTCCACATTTTTTCAAGAAAATTTATATACAACCTATAAATGGCATCTTCAAGGGAATTAGTAAGCTCAGATCAAGTGAAGCACAAAAAGGTAAACAGTGTGCCTCTTATGCATCCCACAAGCCCTCTGCAGTCCCACTCCCTACACCCACCCCCCAAAGTGTCTTTGTTTCCTATACTTTGACTGCAATGAACACAGATCTTGTTGCCTTGGTAGTCTTCGCAAATTTTTTCACAGAATAAGCAGCTCCCCAGCTATGAGATACCATTGCAAGCACAATCCAATTATTTAACTATCAATCTAATAAGATCATTTAAATATTTTCATTTTGAATAATTGTCTAGATGAACAGGTTTTCTATCACAAATTTGTAAATGAGGTCTCAAAATTCTGCATTCTAAATTCTACTTCTGTCATATTTCTTCAACGAATAGCTTAAGAGGAAAGACTACTAAAAGACAAACAATTTGAATTGGCTTTCCAAACTACCACTTAAATACGGCTTCCCCTCCTGCACATTAGCTGTAGCTTTTAGTGTGTTTGAGCTTGTTTACATGCATTTAAAAAAACTGGTTGTTTGAACAAAAGTAGATCTGTATGCAGTGTACATTCTTTTTGAAAATGCTTAGTGGGGAAAAAAAATCTTTTTTTCTGACTCACAAACAAAAATTCACACATATACACAAAAACACCCTGAGAAACTTTAAACAGAATAATTTCTTAAAGATGACAAGAAAAAATTGGAAAAATTCAATACATAAAAATTCTTATTTTAAAAATGTGCATTTTCAGTTTATTTTTTCTTTACACATGTTATGTATAATACCAAAGCTCATTGAAATAAAAATTCTATCATTAGAGTATAATAACTTGTATATTGATTTTTTATCTGACAACAATATATTTTATTTTAAATTCAACTTTAATTGGATTTCAGTTTATGTTAGCTTTTGCCATTGCTATACTTGAAATGTAAAATTTATGCTCATGAAAGAAAATCGAGTGACCCGTGTGACTCAATAACGAGATTTAAAAAAAAATTCAATAAAAAGAGAAAAGAAAACCCTGTGGTTGCTCCTGAATATTAGAGGTGATTATAACAAATGTTACTTTATAAGTACAATTAAGGACATTAATGCAGTTTTTGCATAATGATAATAATCAAATACCAATTATTTTAAAGGCCACTTAAAAGTTAATTTTCACCCAGGTGTGTATTGAAGCCTATAATTATCCTACCTTCAGAGATTTGGAAGTAGATATGCACAAAAGCATTTCTAGAGGTAGAGTTTTATGCAGAAATAGGAATTTGATTTTCAGTTGAATTTTGATGATGGTGCTTAAAATACATATAAAATTGCTTAGAAATGTCTTTTTAAATAATTTTAAGATCACCTTAGATTTTTTTCTCCAGAATATCAGACATATTTTTACAGTACTTAGAAAATAGATTTTATAAGACTAGCACCTGAAATCTTATTTAAAGCAAGTATAAGAAATGTTTACAGCTATATATATGTTCACCACTGTCCTCCTGTTGTTCATTGATTTGCCCAGTAATGTCTCCATTGTGATACTTGTTACTATGTTTTGGCATATCGAATGTAGCTTGCCAGGCTTTGCTGTGTGGGTGAAATACTCTCCGTAGCTTGCCGGGCTCTCTGAGAGGGGTGGAGGAATCAAACCTGGGTAAGCTGCATGCAAGGCAAATGACCTACCTGCTGTGCTATCGCTCCAGCCACACAAATCATAATTTCTATTCAACTCGCAATAATGTTATTTGTAAATTTTTATTTTCACATTATTTTGTGTCTTACTAGTGACCTCCTACTCATTTCCTATTCAACAAATAGTTTATTTTTAAAAGCTTCCCAGACGTTTTGGCAGAATCCGCAAGCAAAGGAAATTGTCACACCTAATCTAACCATCTCTAGTTTACTTTAATAGTGAATGGAATAGGACATGTGATATCATCAATAAGATTTTCTTTTTAGCTCATTGTAGCTTTAAGAATACTTTTATATGGTGCTAAGCAATTAATTTACAAATTGTTATTTTTTTAAATAGCTGACATAGACTAGGTTCGTTTACCTCTTAAGGTAAGTTTTCACATAAACAAAATGAGAGGTTTGAAATAAGCAAATGTCAATACTTTTTCTTTGTGCATTTTATAGGATAAGTGACAGATCCAGTTATTTGTCAATTCTATTTGCCTCTAAATTTTATATCTTAAAATTTGTATCTAAAGTACATACTAGGGCCTGGAGCAATAGCACAGTGGGGAGCGCGTTTGCCTTGTGTGCAGCTGACCCGGGTTCGATTCCCAGCATCCCATATGGTCCCCTGAGCACCACCAGCGGTAATTCCTGAGTGCAGAGCCAGGAGTAACCCCTGTGCATCACCAGGTGTGACCCAAAAAGAAAAAAAAAAAGATAAAGTCCATTAAACATCACGGTCATGGTCACAGTCCTCCCGTTGTTCATCGATTTGCTCGAGCGGGCCCAGTAATATCGTGAGACTTGTTACTGTGTTTGGCATATCGAATACATCACGGGGAGCTTGCCAGGCTCTGCCGTGCGGGTGAGATACTCTCGGTAGCTTGCAGGGCTTTCCGAGAGGGGCAGAGGAATAGAACTCGGGTCAGCCATGTTGGCTGCGTGTAAGGCAAACGCCCTACCCACTGTGCTATAGCTCTAATATTTAAATTTTGTGTTGCATAATTCTTATTGTTTATTTTAAAACTTTACAGTATTTAAATTTTTAAAAAGATTACACTTGGAAAGGAGATTATATTCAGTGGCACGGCACATGCTTATTGTGTGGGAATCTCTGAACTCTGTCCCCTGAAAGTCCTGGCCACTTGCCATTCTGGTATTGCTTAGTGTAGCCCTAGTGATCCCACCATCCAGCCCCACCATGCAGATGAAACAAGAAAACAAACATTCCTGGGGCAATTATCTAGAGTGATCCAGGCTTTCAAACAAATAAGGAAAAAAAGTGTCAGAAAGATAGTACAATGTGAAGACCTTGCACTTGGATTATCTCTAGGTTGTATTCTGGACACCACACAATGGTTCCCTGGGAGTCAACAGGAATGATCCCTGAGAACAGAATCAGAAGTCTTTTAACACTGCCTCATATGATCTCAAGACTCTCTCACAAAATAAACAAAACAAAACCAAATAAAAACTTATTAAGTATATCTGTGATATCCTAGATGGTGAGCTCCTTTTCTCTTCCTCCTTGGAAATTTTTTTTGAGTCATCAAATATAATTTAATAAATGATGGAGTAGTAAAATACTTTTAAACTGTGGTTGATGCTCTAAGGATCTGAATTGTGTGTGTGTGATGACATAGTAAATACTAATTTGAAGGTAATATAGAAGCACTGTCCTGTCCTGTAGCACTGTCCTCCCACTGATCATCGATTTCCTCTAGCAGGCACCAGTAACATCTCCATTGTGAGACTTGTTGCTACTGTTTTTGCATATTGAATAAGCCACAGGGAGCTTGCTAGGCTCTGCCATGAGGGTGGGATACTCTCGGTTGCTTGCCAGGCTCTTCGAGAGGGATGGAGGAATCAAACCCAGGTCGGCCA